CCCCCCCCCCCCGGCCCCTGCCTGTCTTTGGCTTTAGAAACTGGGGCATAAATGAAAAATAGTTGTATTAACACGTCTTCCTTGTATATAGTAGGTTACTGTGTTATCATTGACAGCACTGGATTGCAGCACAGATCTTGAGATTTCTTTTTTATGACAAATGCAACACCGTTCCTCTGTCGTTTGTCATACCCATCACCTCAGACTAGATGATTTTCCAATTCAAAAGGGCCCGTACAAGTCCACTTTGGCTTACTAACGTTTAGGTTACTGGCTGACATGTAAATGTTTCACACGTCCCTGGCTTCACACCAGCCCTCGGAGTACATTTTACCATTATCACCACTTGACAGAGAAGATTTTCACCACCTGGTGTCCCAGAAGTCACAGCACTGATGCGGGCATCCAACCCAGGTCTCTGTGGCCCATCGCTGCTGACCGCCACTATGAACGACAGACCTGCACCCTGCCCTCTCCTGTGCCGTCCTCACCACCTCCAGCATACTCGCGCCCACCTTACAGTCACTGTGCCAATCCGTCCCATCGAGGCTCTTCCTCTCTTTCTCTGACCCTCTACCTTTCCAAGGACGGACCCTTCCTGACAACGTGCCTGAAATAAGTGAGACAGAGTTTTGCCATCCTTGTCTCTGTGGCCCAGAGAAGGGAATATCACGCTTGAAAGGGTCCAGGGACAGCGCAGGAGAGGAAGCCCCCAGGTAAGATGGATTGACACAGTGACTGTGGTAACGGGAGTAGGTGTGTCAGAGACGGTGAGATTGGCTCAGGACAGGGCAGAGGTCAGAACTAGTGTGCATAGGGTCACTAAGAGTCACAAACAACTCGGTAACACATAGCAATACTCCTTCCAAAGCTCTGTCCCCTGGCTCGGGCTGAATCAGGGTGGGCCAGAACACTTCCACAGTATGAAAGGCACGGCCTCAGGTGCAGCACAGACTGGGAAGGTCAAGAACAAGGCCATGGAGAGCCACGTGTCTTCTCTGAGGACTCAGCTACTTCACTGTGGAGTGGACGGAATGGAGTCCACGAGCAGGGCTGCACCGAGTGCCCCGGAAATGGTACTTTTGCTCCCTCCTTTCCGCTTCTCTTTCCGCAGCAGGTACAGTGTGTGAGTGGTTGTCAGGATCGAGGGCCAGGCCCCCTGAACTGCATATAAAGGCTCTGGGTTCTATCCACCCGTTGCTCCGCTGTAGAAAGGTACACAGTCTCCTCTCACGTGACTTAGAGCCTCTGAAAAGCCTCTGGATGGACAGCTAGGAGATGGCTCTGATTTAATGGTACACAACAACAACAAATACCTACACACACACACACACACACACACTAGTTACCCTGACTACCCTTTGTGTCATCCTCCTTAGAGAGTTCAGTGACTGGATTTTTAGAAGCAGATTAACAGGCTCACCCTCTGAAGCATCTCTGGGGAGAGTTGAACCGCCAACCTTCTGGCGAGGAGCTAAGCACGGCACTGTTTGTGAAGCCACCTCGTTACGACGTGGGGAGGTCTAGTGGCCTTGTTGTACTGCTGACGCCAAGGCCACTCCTCTCTGGTGGTTCGAATCCACCAGTAGCTCCAATGGAGAAAGACGAGCAGTTTCCTGTGTGATTGATGGTCTTGGAAACTCTCATAAAGGGTCATTTATGGGTTAGTCTGGGCTTGATGGCAATGAGAGTGCACAGCTTCTGACCACGACTAGCCTAGCAGAGCTCACTTGTTATCATTATGTGCCATCGAGTTGCCTGAGACTCATAGTGACCCTATGTACAACAGCTCTGAACCCTGCCCCGCCCTGAGCCAGTCTCACCGAATCTGACACTCCGACCCCCATGACCCCAGGTACTATATCAATCCGTCTCACCTGGGTCCTCCTCTCCCGCACTGTCCCTCTAGCCTTCCAAGCATGATGTCCTTCTCCAAGGACCATTTCCTCCTGGCCATGTGCCCCAAGTATGTGAGATGGAGCTTCAAAATCCTTGTCTCCAAGGAGAAACTTGGTTTGACCCTCTCCAAGACAGATCTGTTCCTTCTCCTGTCAGTTCATGGTATGTTCAATTCAGTTCTCCAGCACCACACATAGCTCACAGGCATCGACTGTCATTCTTGGCCACTGTCCAGCTCTCTGAGGGATAGCAAGTAACTGCAAAGGCCCTGGCCTGAGTCAGGCACACCTTAGTCTCTAGACTGACACTGTTGCTCCTCGGTACTGTGGAGAGGTCTCTGATCACAGCTTTTCCCAGTGCAACTTGTCTTTTGATTTCCCAACTCCTGGTGCCAAGAATGTTGATTGTGGAGCCGAGCAAGCTGTAATAGTTAACAACCTCAATCTCTTCTCCATCTGTCATGGTGCTGCCAACTGGCCTGGTGGTGAGAATTTTCGGTTTGTCTAAAACACGTCGCTGGACGACCACACTGTCATCTAAGGGTCACTTTATATGTAAGTGTTTATTGGTTAGCTGCTTCATCATCTCTCCCTCTCATTAAAGCACATGCTATGTCAGACTGGTTCACCTCTGTGTAGAGTGATACGCAGCATACAGCACTGAATACATAGATACCTGAGCAAGGGAACATAGAAACCAATGAGAACATACACAGGCACGTGCACACACGTCTCCACACTCAGAGCCTCAGGTGGGCTTTGAGAAGGCTTCCTGTGCAGCTGACAAGGACAGACTCCAGCATCTGAGCTGGCCCTCAGCCCCTGGCCCCCGCTTCCTTACCTTCAGCCCCAGTTCCTTTCTTCTCAAAGGCTGCACTCAGACGTTCGAGCACCACGCTGTCACTGGAGCCCTCCACCCGGACCTCCTCGTCCAGTATCCAGAAAAGGCCCTTGGTGTCTTCAGCACGGCCTCCAGCTGGAAGGTGGGCCTGGTGGGGGGAGACGCAGGAAGCACTGAGAAGCCCTGATCCCCGGTGGAGGCCAATTTCTAGACTGTTCTCCCTACAGATGGGGCCCCAAGCACTGTGACCCTGACAAAGTTTCTCAAATCCCAAACTCTCAATGTCAATGTCACAAAACTAAAACCATCTCTCTGCTGTAAGGTATACAAATCCTGCCTCTGTTCTCCTTTCCTGGGTGACCTTGACCAAGTTACTGGACCTTCCAGAGCCTCTGTCACCCTCTTTTTAAACAACAATGGGAATGTTTTTCTCCGAGGGCCATTGTCTGGGTGAATGAGCGCCAGGCGGGGAGCACTTTCTAAGCCTCGCATTGCTGGATACACACAGAATGGGCAGCTGGTCCCTTGGCACACAGTGAAACATGAAAGGCTTAATTCCATCCACATCACTTGCTTTTAGAAATCTTTGTATTTCTTTGAACCGAAAGCTGGGGGAGCAGGGGGGAGCCCTGTAAGCACTCGAAGAACATTTCAAAGGAGAACGCAAGCTTGATTCAAAGCCACCGATGTGGAATTTTCAAATCTGGCCATGACCTTCAGAGATACTCAAGGCTACCCTTTGATTTGCATACGGGAAGGAGCCCTCTTGGCACCACAGTTAAGGCTCGGCCGCTGAGCTAGTGGTTGGCCGTTTGAGCCCACCCGGCTGGCAACCTGCTCCTGTAACTTCAGCTCCAAGGAAACCCTGGAGGCAGTTCTCACCGTCATGTGAAGTGGCTGAGTCAGAAGCCACCTGGCAGCAGGGACAATAACAGGAAGCAGAGATTGACAGAGTGGCTGTCACAATGGGTTTAAGAGCAAAAGGGATGGTGAAGACTGTGCAGAATCAGGTAAAGCTCAATGGGCTGTGTGTGGGGTCAGTAGAGGTCAGAGGCGACTCAATGACACCTAACAACAAGAACCTATCAGGGCGCCCGCCATGAGTCGGCACCACCATACACAGGGTCAACCTAGAACCAAACCAATAATGCAGAAATACTGATGGACACCCCTCAGAGTCCCAGAGAGGGGGAAAGGACGTGCCCAAGGTCACACAGAGTCACACAGAACTGAAATCTGACCCCAGGCATCCTGAGCCTTCCCCTGGGCTTTCCAGGTCAGACTTGAAATTGAGAGTTGGGTGTTAGGTTTCAGTTACACATACCAAGCCACAGACTGGTGGTCTGGGGGACATGCCAGCTGTTCCGAGTGCTCCCTCAGCCCTGTCCCTTCCAAGGAGAGGCCCAGGTAAGGAAGTACAGTGGTAGGTGACTGGCCAGGGAGAGGTCAGGAAGAAGCAGACACAGGCGGCATCTCCCAGGCTCACCCAGAAGGGGCTGTGTAATGCCAGGGGCAGCCCAATGTGAGACTAGGGAAGACGTGCACACCACCCCCAACCTGCAGGAGGGGAGAAATATGGGAAAGAACAGCCCGTGGGCACAATCGGCAGGGGAAACGCCTCTATCCTGTGCCACCTTTCTCATCTCTGCCACCCACGAGCCCACTGTGACAGTCCAGCCCCTGGAAGGTCTTCCTCTCCTTTGCTGACCCTCCACTTTTCTAAGCATAATGATAGAATCACAGTGTACCTATGTGTATTCCATCAGTGATTCCCACAGCAAGCCAGGAGCTAGCAGTTGTTACGTTCCCTCAAGCCAACTACAACTCACAGGGACCCTGGCTCTGAACCCTGGCCTGTTCTGAGCCAAGCTCACTGTCCTGACACACCCAGCCCCATTACCACAGTCACTGTGTCAGTCCATCTCATCCAGGATCCTCCTCTCCTGCACTGACCCTCCACCCTTCCAAACCTGATGTCCTTCTCCAAGGACTGGTTGCTTCTGGCGACAAGCCCAAAGATGGAGCTTCAGAATCCTTGCCTCCAAGGAGCAACCTGGTTTCATCCTTTCCAGGACAAACCTGTTTGTTCTCTTGGCAGTCTATGATAATGTTTAATACTCTTCTCCAGCACCACAATTTAAAGGCATCGGAATCATCTTTTGCCAGCTTTACTCATTGCCAAGCTCTCAGGTGCATAGCAAACAACTGAGACAATTATGACCTGGATCAGACCCAACTTAGTCTCTAGACTGACATCATTACTCTTTAGCAGTCTGGAGAGTTCTCTGACAGCAGAGTCTCCCAACGCAACTCATCTTTTGATTTCCTGGCTGCTGATGCCAAGAGTGTTGATTGTGGAGCCAAACACGATGAAATCATTAACAACCTCAATCCTTTCTTCATCTATCACGATACTGCCTACTGGCCCAGTGGTGAGGAGCTTTGTTTTCTTGACGTTGAGATGCAATCCATGTTAAAGGCTGCAGTCCTCGGCCTCCTACTCCCATATGGGAGATAGGAAAAACTGAGGCCCACAGAGATAAAGTGCCTTTTCCCAGTGTCATCAAGGTTGGAACTCGCCTTGTCAGGATTCATAGCCCAAACACTTGCACATCAAGATGTGAGGGGTGGGGGAAAGAAGACATCAAGTTGGTCAAGGACAATGCTGAGAAAGACTTGAGCAAAGAGGGGCCAGTCTGGGTCAGCAAAGGAGGTTCTAAAGATGAGGAAAGTGGGGCCAAGAGCAAGACCGAATCCCCCAGACTCAGTATGTGCCAGCGGGTGTAACCTCTGTCTGAACACCTGATCTTTCCAGGTGACAGAAGCTGGGCCGGAACCCTACCTATTGGTGAATCTCTTCAGCTCAGACCACAGGTTCCCTGGTGTGGGCCTGATTCTAAGGCATGGAGTTGGATAGATATAAGGAAATGGTTCTTAAGCAGAGAAGCCAATCAACACCCTGATGGGCAGCAAAACCCCTCAAAACAATGTCCAGGGCACACCCCTCCATCTATATCCAAGCCACATGCTCAGATCACTGCCTGGGGTACACCCCGAGACCAGTGTCCTGGTCACACCCCCGGATCGATGCCCGGTTCACCACCCCAGATCAATACCTAGGAAATACTTCTAGGTTACATCGTCTAGGACACATTCTTAGACCAACACGCAAGCCACAACCCCAGTCAAATTAAGGCCACACACCCCAAGCATGCCCAGGCCACGCCCCCAGGCCAACGACCAGACCACACCCTCATGCAAACCCAGGCCACACCCTCAGGTCAATCAATCCTCAGGCCACACCCCCATGCAAACCCAGGCCACACCCTCAGGTCAATCAATCCTCAGGCCACACCCCCATGCAAGCCCAGGCCACACCCTCAGGTCAATCAATCCTCAGGCCACAACCCCAGATCTTCCAAAGCAGAATCTGGGGACAGGTCCCAGGCATCAGTGATAGGAAAATTTCAAGTACTGGCTGTGCTGTAAGTAAACATTCCAATCAGCTGGGGTATCAAGAGAAAAAGCCATGAAGTACCGAAGAACGTGGTTCACTGTGTCCTGTGTTACCTGGGAGGGGTGCTGATCCACCACAGCCACTGTGGCCCCTGGAGAACGTTCTGGAAGGTCAAACTTCACAGGAATGCTCTCCTGAAAAACAAGAGTGTAAAAGTCAGCTGTTTTGGTGAACGGAGTAGCAGATTTCTAAAGATGTTAGGGCTTTTCAACTTCTTGTGGCCTTTGTATGAGAAGGAAGACTATAAAGCAAAGTTCTACTAATACTCTGACGCCATCCATCCACCTGGCAGCAGAAAGGCGAGAGTTTTATCCTGCACTCAGAGTTCAGTCCAAAGTGTTTCTGGTACTTACTGTGGACCTGAGTGCTAGGAGGAATTGAGGGGAATAGACAGAAATCACAGTGTTGTTCTGAGGTGCTGTCTTGTCAACCCCAACTCATAACAACCCCAGGCACAAGAGTTAAGTCTCTGGTTGATCTTGCACCATCTTTACAGTTGCTATTATATATAAACTCATTGTTACAGGCACTGTTTCAATCCATCTGGTTGAGCTATCCTGACTCTCTGTCCTTCCCAGGTGACGTCCTTTACAAAGAACTGGCCCTTCCTGAAAACATCTTCAAAGTATGGGGGATGAACTCTAATCATCTTTGCCTCTAAGGTGGCGCCTACAAAACAGTCTGTTTGCTCTTCTGACAGTCTATGGGGTATTCAGTTCTCTATGTTGACACTACAGTTCAAAGGCATCAACTCTTCTTCAGTCATCCTTACTCCCTGGGCAACTTTCACTGCATATGAAGCAACAGACATTGTAGATAATAATAACTGTCGTGTAAAACTCGATGCTGTCTAAACAGTACTATGCCCAAAGACGCTCATCTGTTCTATATCAGTCCAAAATAGGAAACCATCAAAAATAAACCATTCAAAAATCAGTTAGGATAGACTAAAACATAACTGGTGAAATGGATGGTTACTGTTGTTGTTGCTGGATGCCACTGAGTTGACTACAATTCATTGTTGTTGTTGTTATGTGTCGTCGAGTCGCTTGCGACTCATAGTGACCTTATGTACAACAGCTCTAAACTCCGCTCTGTCCTGTGCCAATGGCACCGTCTCTGACACTCCCATCCTAATTATCCTAGTCACTGAATCAATCCACCTCATAGAGGGCCTTCCTCTCCTGCGCTGTCCCTCCACCCTCCCAAGCATGATGTCCTTCTCCAAGGACCTGTCTCTCCTCACAACATGTCCAAAGTATGTTAGACGGAGCCTCAGAATCCTTGCCTCCAAAGAGCCACCCAGTTTAACCCTTTCCAGGACAAATCTGTTTGTTTTCATAGCAGTCCATGGTATTCTCAATACTCTTCTCCAGCACCACAGCTCAAAGACATCAATTCTCCTTCTATCCTCCTTGGTCATTGTCCAACTCTCTGATGCATAACAAGTGATTGCAAAAACCATGGCCTGTATCAGACGCACCTTAGTCTCCAGAGAGACACCATTGCTCTTCAGCACTTTGGAGAGGTCCCTAACAGCAGACTTTCCCATGGCAATGCGCCTTTTAATTTCCTGGCTGCTGGTGCCAAGACTGTTGACTGTGGAGCCAAGCAAACTAAAGCTGTGTACAATCTCAATCTCTTCACCATCCATCCTGATGCTGCCAATTGGTCCAGTGGTTAGAATCTTTGTCTTCTTGACTACAGTGCATAGTGACCCTAAAAGCAACAGATCTAAACTTTGCCCTGTCCTGTTCCATTGTCATGATCTCTGATATGCTCAAGTCCATTGTCAAAGTCACTGTGCCAAGCCATCTGATTGAGAGTCTTCATGTCTTTCTCTGACTCTCCCTCTTTCCCAGCATTACATCTTTATCCCAGACATAATAGTCTTTCTTGACGACATGGCCAACGTTATGTGAGATGAAGTATCACCATCCTCGCCTCTGAGGAGCACCATGGTTGCACTTCCTCCAAGACAGAGTTGTTTGTTCTTTTGACGGTCCATGAATTATTCAGCACTCTTCTCTAACACCACAACTCAAAGGCATCAATTCTCTGGCATCTTTATTCATTGTCCAATTTTCAGATGCACAGGAAGTAATTGAAATGGAAAAGATTATGGCTTGGATCAGGTGCACCTTAGTCTTTAAACTGATACCATTGCTCCTCAGTACTTTGGAGAGGTCCCTGACAACTGATTTTCCCAGTGAAGTAAGTCTTTTGATTTCTTGACTGCTAGTAAAAAAAAAAAAATAATAAAATAAAAAATCCAATGACAAAACCAGACTATTCTATTCTTTTCTTTTTTCTTTCTTTTTTTTTTTTACTAAATGTTTGAGCAAGTCCCTTTAGGTGGTAGTTGTCCATCCCTCCCTGTAGCCACATTCATTACAGAGGAACATTGTCACTTCTCCCAGCCAGAGGTGGAGCCTCTTTCACTGCCCAATCAGTGCTCACTCTTAAGACTTGCTGTGACCAATCAAATGTAGTGGAAGGGATGCTGTGCTGACTTGAACCTGGACTCTAAGGCTTCTCCCACTTCTTGCTTGCTCTCCTGGAATCCTTTCCAGGCCCTTTGAGAACGCGCCTGGGCTAGCCCACTGGAGGGTGAAGCATTCATGAAGTGGAGAGGAGCCATCCCAGACATTTAAACTCATCTTTGTCCTTGAGTCAGAGCCGGCTCATAGCTCACCCTCCACTGAGTTCCTAAGACCGTAAAGCCCACAGGAGGAGGTCTATCTTTCTCTCATGGAGCCGCTGGTGGATTCAAACCCATGGCCTTTGGATTAGCAGTGTAATTCCCTACAGATTATGTCACCAGTTTTTGTTAGGTGCCATCCAGATAGCTATGACTCATAGCGACCCTGTGAGCAACAAGTCTGAACCCTGCCTTCTCCTGCGCCATCCTCAACATCCCTGATACGCTGGCCCCTGTTACAGTCAGTGTCAGTCCATCTTGTTAAGGGTCTTCCTCTCTTTCTTTGACCCTCCACATTTCCAAGTTTAGTGTCTTGGACTGGGGTCTCCTGACAACACGCTCTACTTAAACCCACTGACAGTCAACTCCTAGACACGCAGTATCTCAACCAAAATGGCCAGGGCTACCGACTTGACTGACTCTAGGATCCCAACTGCCCAGCCAACCTTGACCGGCCCGGGGCAACCCGCTTGGCAGCCGCACCTCCTGGTACCGCTCCAGCGTGGAGACAAACGTCCGCTGGTAGAAGAGCAGCTGCAGGCGTTCCTGAGCATAGTTGTGGCACAGTTCCTCGAAGGTGGCAGCACGCTCTCTGCCCCGGTGCCGGGGGTTCTGGAAGCCTGGTGAGTCCACCACCATGATGGAGGCCATGGACAGGTGGCAGGAGGAGAAGGACCTAGATGGAGAAAAGAGAGGCCCTGAGACGGCACGCGGTATTCGGTACCCACTGCCCAACCGCACACTCTCACACTGTAGACACGGAAAGACTGAGGCGGCTCTGGCAGGCCCAGCACTTCTGGGCTACGTGACCTTGGACAAGCTGTTCACTTTCTTTGAGGCTTGTCTCCCTAACTGCAAAATGACGGTGAGGTGAGCAGAACAATCCCAAGGTCTACAACTGTTGTCCTGTGTCGTCAAGTTGGAACCGACTCATAACTGACCTTGTTTTCAGAGGTAGATAATCACATGGGGAAATTGCCCATCTTTCTAGTGAGGAGCAGCTGGTGGATTTGAACCGCGTCCCTTTGGGTGGGCAGCACAGCTCCTTACCCACTAGGCCACCAGAGTTAAAATATGACAAACGCATCCCATAACGTTCTATAAATGTGTGACCACTGGGTCAAGTGGAGATAGGACTTGTCTGGGTGACTTCAGAGGCAAAGCCCAGAATGCTAGGTGAACATTAGCAGCACTGCGTGTCTTGAGGAGCTCACCTGACCTCTCTGAGTCTCAACTGTGAAAAAGTCAATGACAGAAGTTAGAGGAAGGAGCGTGTGCTAAGGCCTCCATTACTCAGAGCACCAGTAGGTTTGTCACAGAACAAGTGCAATAAATTCAATCACTGTCTTAAGGATCCCTGATAGCACAATGGTCAATGCATTGAGCAGCAAACCAAAGGGCTGGTGGTTCAAATCCACCAGCTGTTCCTGGTGAGAGAGAAATGCAGTCTCCTCCAACAAAGACAGCCTCGGAAGCCTCTTTGAAGGTTACCACGAGTCAGCGCTGACTTGAAGACAGTCAATGGCAGCATGAACATCAGCCGTGACTAGCTTTGTAAGAACCTTAGCATAAGCCTTAACTTTTATTCCATTACATGCAAGTGTTTCCTTCTGTTAGAAAATCAAGCATCGTTGAGCTGATTTGAACTCATGACAGCCTCATGTTCATCGGAGCAGAACCAAGAGCTCCGTGGGCTTGTCGAAGCACAACACCAGGCCTTTCTTCTGAGGTGACTTTCAGTTAGCAGCCGTTTACTCCACCCAGGGAGTCCTTGTCCTTTCCATCTGTAAAATGGGGTCAATGAGAACAGCCTCTGGACAGACATGCTTTGAAAGGCAGTCCATGTGTCTGACCAACTACCTACCAAAAGCTCAGCAGATGGAGGTAATGAGTAGTATTACTGCTATTACATCGTAAGGGAGCTCTGGTGGCTTAAAGGTAAGGAATTGTGCTGCCAACTCTAATGCACAAGGTTCAAATCCACCAGATGCTCTGCAGGCGGAAGATGGGGAATCTCCTCTCATGAGATTTATTGCTTCTGAAATATGAGCTGTGAATCTGATCCAGCTCGACAGTACATAACAACAGCAAGTACATCATATACCCATTTTACAGATGTGAGCTTGGAGCACAAACCATAGAGCAGCCTGCCCTTCTGTGGCTGAGGTCATGCCTCTCTGCCCACATTCATTATTCTGTCTCAATTCTCCCTCCCTGAACAGGCCTGATTCCCTTAGTTTCTTCTGTGGTCCAGCAGCATTGCAGACAGTTGGTGCTGTGTCCACAACTCCACCAGGGGACCCCTGCCTGCTCTGTTGCTCTGCACCAACCCCATCACTTTAACTGGATGTTAGAACCAGAAGTTCTCCACAGAGAAGGGAGGAAACGCCTTGCCTACATCAGCCAAAGAATTTGGCTACATCACCCTTAAAGGATTTTGAAGCATGTGGCCCAGGGTGTTCAAAAGCAGAGGTTCCCCAGACACATTTCAAAGACCCACTTTAGCCCCCTCTGAAAGTCCACCCTTCCTGGATAACTTTACCCAGAAGGAAAATGTAGAAAATAATTGAGAGCAACGTGAAGGGTGAGTCAGGGAAACATGAAGGCGTGAAATAGGGGCTCAGTATTGCACTTAACATCCCAGATCTACTGCTCTGTGTCTCAGCTTCCTCATCTGTAAAATGGGCTAATACATGAAATGCTAGAAAGCAAGGTAAACACCTTGGGCAAAGGTGTGTCAGCAGTAAAATTCTCGCCTTTCACATGGGGGAAATGGGTTCTCAGCCAACACACCTTAACATGCAGCTGCCGACCGCCCACAGGTTGGGGTTTCTGATTGGTCTGATGCTGAACAAATTCTGATGGAGCTTCTAGACTAAGACAAGTTAGGAGTAAAGATCTGGTGACTTACTTCTGAGAATCAGCCATGGAAAACTACTGGATTGCAACCTCAATGTTGGAAATGAAGCAGAACCAGACCGCCCTGTATTCCCTTGTTTACAAGGTTACCACACATAATCAGGGTCGTTCTCGGTTCTTAGTAAGACCAAACCCGCTGCCACTGAGCTGGTTCCAACTCACGGTGACTTTACAGGACAGAGCAGAACTGCCCCTTAGGTATCTGAGGCTTTAAATTTTTTGTTTTTCCCATTCATTCATTGCTGCACTCTTCTCCCCTCCCAACCCTCCTCCCCAGTACACTACCCTCTTGGAAAAGCAAAAGGAAAACCCCCTCATTGCCCTACAAATGCTCTCCCAGGTCCACTCCACCATGTAGCCTTCGCTCTAGACTCCTGTCATGACAAAAATGCCCAATTACATATTCCTTTTAAACAGTTTTCTCCCTCATCTGTTTCAATGCAGTACACATTATTGAACCCATCTTTCTCAATCTCCCCCCAACCCCCATATCAGTCCTGTTTTACAACAGTGGCACCATGCAGTATTTGTCCTTTTGTGACCGAGATACTTCACTCAGCATAATGTCCTCCAGGGTCACGCATTTTGAATAATACTGCATGAGTTCCTTGTTTTTTGAGGCTTTAAATTTTAAAAGGGGCTGACTCTTCTCCCATGGAGTGGCTGGTATATGGCTTGTTGTTGTTGTATATCATCGAGTTCAAACCCACCCTCAACTGACCTTCCAGAATATTTTCAGAGGCAGTTAATCGCATGGAAGGAGATTGCCTATCCTTCTCCCGCAGAGCCTCGAACCGTGTGCCTTCAGGCTTGCAGCACAGCTTCTTGCCACTGGGCTACCAGTGCTCCCTGGTATGTGGCTTAGTGGTAAGGAATTGCACCGCCAACCCAAAGGCACATGATTTTAACCCATCAGCTATCCTATGGGAGAAAGATGGTCAATCTTCTCCAGTGCAATATATTGAAAACCCATGGGAGAGTCAGCTATGGGCAGGTTCTGATTCGACTGTACTTAACACCAACAAGGACGACAACTTTCTGTTAGCAAACCTACACTTAATACACCATGACCGAGGTTCCTGTGGTCCTCAGGGGGCACTTGACAAGGTTAGCTTTTATTGGTAGTATTTTCATTGTCTGTCCTAGAGAGAGCAATGCAAATACACCATTTCTTTTCATCTTCACAACAGCCCTGGGTGGGGGAGAGCTATTTTTGTAATAATCTTTAATTTTATTGCAGCAGTTTTAGGTTTACAGAGAAGCTGTCTAGAAATCAGAGTTTCTACATACTCCCTCCTCACCCTGCATATTGTCACTCCTGGCATCGTCCCTCCTGGTGTTACCACCTTGCATTCTTCAGGAACACAGCTAAGGGTTCTGGGATTCCCATTCTTTTCAATGTTAGTCATAACTTACTATGATTTACATCCCCGACTGTCTCTGCAGAGGCAATGACATGCAACTAAACATCCTTCTGCTATTTTCTGCTCTTAGCCAAGATCCGGCTGATGTCAGCAATGACATTCCTTCTTCCACCACCTCGTCTCAATCCAGCGTGAATTTCTGGAAATTCCCTTTCAATGGGCTGCTCCAACTGTTGTTGAAAGATCTACAATACTTGACTTGCCTGTAGTATCGAGATGTTGTTGTTAAGTGTCATAGAGTCGTAGATGACCCATAGTGACCCTATGAATGAAAGTCTTGAACACAACACTTTCATCTTTTCTCCAAGTTCATAGAGTTTCCGGAGGCAAGTTGTTTTTGGAAGTGGATGCCACTCCTGCTTCCAAGCCTGTTTTATTCTGGGGAGTCACAAAAAGCAGTTCTGAGGGCCGCAGGCCAGAGGGTACAAATTGTTAGATAATTTCTGCATTCTGTTAGATAACCTTTTGTAAAAAAAAAAGGCACAAACACGGGTCTTTTTCAGTTGACTGAGTAAGTAGCTGTCTTTCAAATTTCTTGGCAAGTCCAGGGCTGCATTTGTTCAAACACCTCAGCTGGTACTCCATCAATTACTGGGACTTTTTTTTTTTTTGTCAATATAGCTTTAACATCTTCCTTAAGTATCATTGGTTCTTGATCAGAGGCTATTTCTTGATATGGTTCAGTGTTGAGCAATTATTTTTTTTCTAATGACTGTGTATTACTTACATTTCCTTTTGATGGTTCTTGTATCAGTCATTATTTTGTCCTAAGACAAATTGCAACGTGAGGTGTAAATTTGTTCTTCAGTTCTCCCAGCTGGAGAAATGTTAAGCAAGTTCGTCTCTTTTTCTTCTCCTTGTCTTTGAAAGATTGGTTATAATACTTTGCTTTTTCTTCCTATGCTTCCTTTTGAAAATTTTTGTTCAGCTTTCTTTTTATCTTTTCCTAATGCAACACAGGTTTTTATTTCTTTTCTATTACTTTGCTCTTCGCTATTATCCAAGGTGACCTTCCCCAGTGCGCAGCTTCCCGGCTTCCCCTCCGCCCAGGAGCACGTTCTCCCGCCGGTTTTTCTGTGTACCTGGAAGATGCCTCTTCGCTATTATCCAAGGTGACCTTCCCCAGTACGCAAGCTTCCCGGCTTCCCCTCCGCCCAGGAGCACGTTCTCCCGCCAGTTTTTCTGTGTGCCTGGAAGAGTCGCAAATGACTCAACGGCACATAACAACAACAACAACATTACTTTGCTTACAAAGTTCGTATACGTTGTGTTTCACACTATTCTTCATTCACTTTGTGTCTCATACAATCATTCCCATGCATTAGGTTTCATTAAATTAATCACCATTGGCCCTTGCCTGTCACTGCCCTGTCTTTTCAGGTTCCCCGACTGAGTCCTCCCATTTCCTTCACCCTCTTCCTCTACCCACCAAATTGTGCAAGCCTGTGGTTTCACCCCTACCCCTTGTTCAGCTTTCTGAGCTCCTCATTCCTTCCCTTCGTTTCGGCTCCTCAACACTGAAGGGAAACTGCCGATGTCTCCTCTGCCATTCATTTCAGTCTTTTCTTCCTTTCCTCTCTGTAATGACCTTTTGCTTCCTTCACGGGGACGTCTTTGATGTCGTCTCATAGCTAGTCTGGTCTTTGGATGTCAGTGCTCAATGCATCAAATCAATTTGCAATGGTTTTTAAATTCAAGTGGGTTGAACTTCAGGTTATACTTTTTTGGCTTCTATGGACTTGTTTCATTTTCTTCCGCTTCCGTTGGAAAATGAGCCATTATGGTCTTCTCCACAGTCGGTTCCTGGTCCAATTCTGATTGATGATATTCACCTTCTCCATCGTCTCTTTCTACAGACACAGTCGGTTTGGTTCCTGTGTGTCAGGCAAGGTCCATGTGTACAGTTATTGCGTATTTTTTTAAAAACAGATACTGGCAATAAATTAATCATTCATTGTACAAAATTATGTCTATATCATGGGATCTCTGCCTCATTTCTGTCACCAAAGCCTTCTTTTCCAACTACCAGCATTCCTTCTTTGTTTCCAACTGTTTCGTGCCAGCCACCAGTTACTATTAGCACACCTTGGTTGCAGGTTTGATCTATATTAGATTGTAAAAGTCGCTAGAAATCTTCTATTTCTTCATCTTCAACTTTAGAGGTTGGTGCATATGTTTGAATAACTGTCACATGAACAGGCTTCCCTTATATGGATACAGACGCCATCTTACCATAGAGAGTATCATACTTCAGGGCAGATCTGAAAATGTTCCTTCTGATGATGTAGGTGACACCATTCCTCTCCAATGTGTCATTTCCAGGCATAGCGAATCATGTGACCGTCTGAACAGAAATGGCCAAGACCAGTCCATTTCAGCTCACTGATGCCAATCTGCAAGGCTTCTGTTTTTCTGTTTCATTTTTGAAATGAACTTCCAATTTTCCTACATTGATATTCCATTCACGCCATGCTCCAATTCTTATTGGCAATGTTCAGCTGTTTCTCTTCATTTTGAGTCATGTCATATCAACAAATCAAAGGTCTCTTCACTCAGTGGAGGCCTTATACTCTCCACTCATTAAGAGAGACTCTAATTTGAGGAGCCAACTCCTCCCCAGACATATTTCCAGTGCCTTCCAACCTGAGGAGTTTATCTTGCAGCACTTTCTCACACGATGTCTCACTGCAACGCATCGAGCTTTCAAGGGCCCATCACTTCAGAAGGAGTTGGCCAGTCTTTTGAGTCTATCTGAGTCTAGAAACTCCACTGTACTGTAAACTGTCCATTGTGGGTAACCAACCCTGCTGGTCACTGAAATATGTATGGCATAGTTTCCAGCACCACAGCAACATGCCAAGTCACTGCAATGTGGCAAATTGACAGGTGAGTGGTGAATCAGCCCAATGGCTTTTGACAAATGCCTATGTCAAACCATGACAGTGTGTCAGAGTCAGTGAGACTGGCTCAGGATAGGGCAGGGTTCAGAGCCATTGTACGCAGGGTCGCTGTGAGTCATGGGCGACTCAGTGGCACATAACAACAACAAACAACTGTGACAGTAGCCTACAGAATTGTTTTATTGAAAAAAAAATGTTCCGTAGGATTTTCTGGAGCCACCGAGGCTCAATAAACCCATGAAACTATTGGCCTGAGGAAAATCTTTACACCTGAGAGCAAAGACATGCCTGAAAGTCATCTTTCTGCAAAGCCAATAATCATGACCAATAGGGTCACCCATGCTGGACAGTTTCAGCTGGGTTTCTAGACAAAGATAGACTAAAGCAGGACTGGCCATCTGCTTCTGAAGACAAACTATTAATTAGTCTAACTAATTAATAGCTTAATTAGCAATGGCTGCCTTCCTTGAGCACTGTGGTCCATTAAAGGGTCTGTGTTGTTATGGACCCTCACGTCAAAATTGACCCAAAGCAGACCCTCCAGCGAATTTTCAGAGGTAGTTAGTCCTCCTAGGAAGAGAGTACCCATCTCCCTCCCACAGAGCAGCTGGTGGATTTGAACTGTGAACCTCCAGGATTGCAGTGGAGCTTCTTACCATTAGGCCACTAGGGGCTCCCTCTGTTAAAGAACTGCTTACATGGAATTAAATCAACTGCAGTAACTTGAGAGGATAAGAGGCACAGAAGCCCGTGAGCTTACATTATTAATAGGAGGCCGAAGAGGGTCAGAACACTTCAAACAACTTGAGTGACATCAATGACATTGACTGGTACCTGCAAAAACTGTTGAAGCTTCCATAACAACAAAACATGTGTGTTTTGATGTGTGCCTTTGCAACCAAAAAAAAAAAAGGAATTCTTCTAAAAATTTACAAGCTATCATCTATATGCAACTGCGTAACTGCTGGTCTCTCTTTGTCCAGAACAAAGAAGAGTGGAGGAAAACACATATATACAGAAGCAATTAGTCCAAAGGACAAATAAATTATTCGAATCTCAACTTCCACAACTCTGAGACCAGAAGAAATAGATGGTGCCCGTCTACCACAGAGGATACAATGACCACTTCCAGAAGGGTTACACTTGAAGATCTTGGATACAGCTGGAGTGGGAAATATAGAACAAAACTGAAAAATATTATAAAAGCCAGACTTTCTGATCTAATAGAGACTAGTGGGAACCTCAGACCTATGGCCCTTATTCATCCTCTGAACCTAGAACTACATTATCGCCTGTGGCTCAACTTTCAGCCAAACGATCGACAGGTTTATAAACAACATGAGGGAGGCACTTACTCTTTAGAAGACTCAACCATGTATGGTCAAAAGAACAGCACTTGGGGAGGGGGAGAAAAGTGCAACAATGAATGAATGGAAATCTAAAATCTCTGTAAATTGTTCACTGAAATTAATAATAATTTTTTTTTTTACTAAAAACAGCGTTTTTCCCAGGGATAAAGCCAGGAAGGCAGTATGGGTAAGAAAGAAGGATTAGTGGATGTGAGAGTTACAGGAAAGAGTGGATGAAATGTGATAATATAGTGGCTATTCAGGGAGCTCTGGTGGCCTAGCAGTAAAGGGATGAGCTGCCAAACTGAAGGCATGCAGTTCGAATCCACCAGCTGCTCCGTGGAAGAAGGATGGACAGTCTCCTCCCATGTGATTTACTGCCTCTGAAAACCTGCTGGAAGATCAGCTGGTCGCTTCCAACTTGACAGTAAACAACAACATTGTAATTAAGGTTTAAAAACATGTAGGAATGAGTCAACAGAAAACTAATTTTCTTCACAAACTTTTCTCTCACATCACAGTAAAATAAAGAAAAACTGAACAGATGATACAAATGTCCTCTGACAGAGCTCTTTTTACAGATGGGCATGATACCAGAGGGAAGGACTGGCTTGCAAAAGTCATACAGCCAGTTGGGACCATGGTTGGAGCTCTGTCAAGCCCCATTCAGCTCAAAACCCCTGCTCTCTGTCTCAAGATCACCCCCATCCCCGCTCACCTGCCCCAAGCCCAAGCTTGTTTGTTTACCTGAGGAAGAGCTGGGTCTTGGGCAAAGGTTGTAATTACCTGTTGATGAGTGAGACGACAGCAGCAAAGAGCTCCTGGTAGAGGCCTGAGGCCATGCCCTCCACACACTCCACACCTGTCATCTTCATCCCTGAAGTCAGAGAGAAAGGTGAGTCCAGCAGGTGTCACAGTGAAGACTTCTCCTGGGGCCAAGCACCCCAGAATGGAGGCATCAGAAGGTTCCTTGGCCTTCAAAACAACCCCCAACCACAGACACACATTTCTCTCCTCAGTGTGGGTTAAAAATCATACCCACATGCTGAGGACAGAGTGCAAACCCTCTACCATGACTCACAGGCCCTTTGTCAACTGATTCTATCTCCCTTTCCACCATGCTTTGTTGATCCCTCATTCTTCCTGTCAACTCCTGCTCATCCTCCAGGGCTTTGGCCAAATGTCACCTCCTCAAAGAGGCTTCCCCTGACTACTCTTCCCAATTAAGCGAATCCCCCACGCTGTTCTCTCTTGTACCCACGGCGGCATCCTGTCTTTACTTCTGCGGCTGTTTTGTTCATCTGTGACTGCCCCTTGATGCTGGGCATGCTGGAAAAACGAGGCTGTCTTGAGTTTTATTGCCCCTCGCATCTACCAAGCGAGCGAGCGGGGATCGTATTTGCTCAGTAAATATTTGCTCTTCCTGCTTCTGGAAGGGAGCGGCGCAGCTCTCGAAGAGAAGCCATAAAACAGCGAATAAACCAAAGATGTAGACAGATAAAGACATAGCCATATGCTTCCGACTGTTTAAATGGACAGCAATCTCTCCTTGGAAAGAATCTGAATGTCCAACTGCAGCAGACGGGCTAGATGATGGATAACGCATCTGTACAAAGATAAGCTTTGATTCAGGTGTGTTGATACGTGCTGTCAGGTCAGAACTGACTCACAGACCTGAGCCTCCAGGTTTTCAGAGGCTGTAAATCTCTCTGGAGGAAACTGCCCATCTTTCTCCTGCAGAGCAGCCGGTGGATTTGAATGAACCATGTGCCTTTGGGTTGGCAGCCCAACTCCTAACGAGTCATCAGAGCTCTTTATTTGGGTATTATTAGAGAATGAGATAGGTAAAGTAAGACTGTATAAAAATCGAGAGGATGTGAATTAAGGTTTGCTCTCAATTTTGCTTACACACACACACACACACACACACACACACACACACACATACCACCTTGAACAGTTAGCCTTGATTAAGGTTCACTGAACAATGTGAGGTAAAGCATGTCATGAATGAGTCCCCGATGACAAATCCTGAACCTTAAATTTCGGGACCATCCTCAGAACGGGAAATGCCAGTTGCAATCTGCATGCAACGAGAGCCTGCAGAAAGACCTCGGCGTGCAGACCTCGAGCAGCCTGCTGCAGCCCTAAAGTCATTTCCCATCCCTCATCTGACTCCACCCTTAACTTTTGCTGTTGCTAGGCAACACACAGCCTCCCAGCATCTCCCTGGAATCTGCTAGTTCCCTGTCTGCTTAATGTCTACCCTGGAGACATTGGCATGAGAGGTTGAACTACACACACAAATGCTCTGTGTGTATGAGCCTTTGTATGTGTGTGTGAGAGAGAGAAGAAATGTAGTTTTTAAGCAGACCACAGAGTGAAGATGTAGAGGAAAGCAAAGAAGGCCAGTAGAACTCATGTGCCATCACTGTGGAGTGCCTGGAGAGAGAGGCAGCTTTGAAAAAACCAAAGGGTCACCACAAGATGTCCCAACATTACAACTCAAAACAGTTCTCCTCATTAATGTCAAACTCTTAATGTGTCTCTATTTCTCTCTCCACTAATTCACTGACAGGGTCCTCAGAGATCCTGAGACCTCCAAGAAGACCCTTTGCAACATATTCTGCAGCCAGGTCATCGGGCCAGCAGAATCTTTCAGAACAGGACTCAGCAGAGCCCACTCTTGCAGGCACCTTGCTTAAGTTCTCCTGATTTCCCCACGCTCTGGGTGAAGGACTCGTGTTCCTTCAGGAGAAAATCTTAGATGTCTTCTTTGGCCCATATCTTTCCCTTGCACCACATCTCTACTTCTGCAGCATCTCCGGAGTACAGCCACCTCTTCCCATCTCTAAGTGAGCATCCAAGCTACTCTAACTTCTCTCTTTGAAAAGAATCCCACCAAATCTCCCTTTTCTCATTCATTCCCACTCATTATCCAGCCTGGGCTCCTTAAAGAACTTGCCAAATCGCATTACTCCTCTACTTAGCCCTGCCTACAACCTTGGCTTTTATTCAGTACATGAGTAACAACTCTGACTTGCAGATCTAATCCAATCTTGCTCTCCAACATCATTTCCTGGTATCCATCAAGCTAGACATAAAAGTCTCATATCCCCTCTTTAAACAGGAAGACAAGACTTCATAGGGACTCAAAAAACATTGAGGCAATAGACATGCTTCAGTGCCTAGACACTATTCTTGTCTCCTCTCTTCACTGTAAGGACTCATCTAGGTTTCAGGACCCTGGACAGAGCTATCACCCTTAAGCATCGTTGGCGTAGACGGGAGCGATGTCTATTTCCTTGTATCCAGTTAGCATCCTCCAGCACCAGCTGTGGGCCGGTTCCAACCAAACAACATACAGCAACAACAAAGCACCCTCATGCGTACAGTCACTGAAAAGCAAGCGAATGAATGCTGGTGTGTCCCTGGCCCACCACAAAGGGAGTAGTAGGTACAATACCTGAACTTGTCTCCTCTTCCTCAAGGTGCCGGCTGGACCCAGACCTCACTTGCTCAATGATCTGCTGCAGGTGATGCTTGAAAGTGGCCCGATTCAACTCCTCGTACTCACAGCCCAGCACCTCGGCTGCGCGGTTTGCCCACTCGAACCGCATGAATTGCTTTCGGCCCACTGCACGAGGGATAAAGCAAAGGCAGAGTGGTGAGGGGTTGGGCATGGAGTAAGTGGGCATCAAAGGGAACTTTGAAGGTTCTCTCTACCCATCCAACCTCTGAGTCAGGAGGCTGTGAGGCTGCTCAGGTCCAACTGCTGAAGGACGGTGTCCTGGCCAGGGTGAGGTTCCCCAGGAGACACGCTTGCCTTCTCCCTGCCCTTTGCACTCCTTTTACTTTTTCAAAGCAATTAAAATCTTCACAGGGACATTCCAATGGTGAGTAAATGTAACATTCACACATCTGTGAATTGTAGTCAACATGTTGGCAAATAATACCAATTTCCACAGGGAGTAGAGCCCCCATCAACAACATCAATAACACAGAGCTGATTTCAATGAAGTCAGACACGTTCCCCAGGGTCCATTAACTTCAGACTAAGGTGTGCCTGATGCAGGCCATGCTCTTTGCAATCACCTGCTATGCATCAAAGAGCTGGGCAGTGGCTAGGGATGATAGTAGGAGAATTGATGCCTTCAAGCTGTGGTGCTGGAGAAGAGTATTGAGTATACCATGACAGCTAAGAAAATGAACAGGTTCATCCTGGAGAGGGTTAAACCAGCTGCTCCTTGGAGGCAAGGATTCTGAAGCTTTGTTTAACATACTTTGGACATGTTGCAAGGAGGGGCAGGTCCTTGAAAAGGGGTGTATTGCTTGGGAAGGTGGAGGGACAGCCCAAGAGAGGAAGACCCTGTATAAGGTGGATTGTTTCAGTGACTGGGGTAATGGGGGTAGGTGTGTCAGAGACAATAAGGTTGGCACAGGATACAGCAGGGTTTAGGGCTGCTGTACAGAGGGTAATTATGAGTCACAGGTGACTCAATGGCACATAACAACAACAACAACAACAGCAGCAGCAGCAGCAGCATAACTACTTCTAACAATTATAATGCCAATTGTCCCTCCCATGACTTCACTGCTTCATGACTGGGTCTGATAGACATTGCAGTTGTTGTTGTTATGTGCCGTCGAGTCGTTTGCGACTCATAGCAACCCTATGTGCAACAACCCTAAATTCTGCTCTATCCTGTGCCAATTGCACTGCCTCTGACACACCCATCCTAATTACCTCAGTCACTGAATCAATCCACCTCATAGAGGGTCTTCCCCTCCTG